GCCCCGCCGCTCCCTGGCCCGTCACCGTGGTGGCTCCTTTTGATTTCGGGGGGCTGCTGGCCCCCATCTCCCCCCAAGCCCATCGAGGGGGGGTCGATACGACCCCTCCTCACGAAATGCTGGATCCGAGCTTCCAGCCCCTCGCATTTTGGGCGGGCCAGCAGAGGTTTGTAGGTGCGAGGCTGGACGCCTTCCACGAATCCACTGGTCTGCTTGTGGAGCTGGGGCTTCAAGTCTCTCCACACTGTGGTCGTGGTGCTCCCCGGGGCTGTGATTAATTAAAAAAAATCTATTAATATATATAATTCCATTAATTACCCCCTTATTTTTCATTATTTTTAAAACTAACCACCCCATCCCTCTGCAATTCCAAATTTTTTGGCAGCTTTCTGCCAAGTAGAAAGAAAACTAAGGGGGGGAAAAAAAATAGTTGGGAGTGAACTCTTAAAAATTGTTATTTTTATTCAAATGATGTCAAAATGGAGTGATCTGATTCGTTCCAAACAGGGAGATCTGGGTGGTCTGGGGGCCAGTTATTGTTCAGCTGGTGCATGTGTGAGTTTGTCCTTCCCTGGAGGTTCAGAAGATCCTTGTGTGGTCTTGGAGAACCTGCTTCAGACTGGTGGGGTTGGACTTGGTCTCTCCATCCAAGGTGGACAAGGTGGAGAAGTGGGACTGTGTTGAACCTCCTGAGGTTCAGGGTTCTACACAAGGGTTGGGACTGGGATGATTGTTGGAAATTCAAAGATTTAGACTACGAAGGAAATTCTGGAGGGTGCTGAGCCCCCAGCCCAGGCTGCCCAGAGAGGCCGTCGATGGCCCCCTGGAACCATTCCAGGTGAGGTTAGATGAGACTCTGAGCAACCTGCTCTAGCTGAGATGTCCCTGCTGACTACAGCACGACCAGATGACCTTTCAAGGTCCCTTCAAACCCAACCCAGGGATCCACCTTGGACATCTCACCTTTCCCAGCGGCCACGGGGGCGGCGTCCAGCCCTCGCAGCATGTCACGGAGCACTTGGGTCTTGACGGCGTGGTTGGCCCAGAGCTGCTGCAGGTGGGTGACGTTGAACTCCTGCACTTCCCGGTCGTAGAACCACTGAAGGTTCTCAAACTCGCAGTCGTACAGGACGAGGGGAAACTCCACTGCCATGCTGGAGGAGAAGGAGAAGAGGTGTTACCAAAACCACCTTCCTTCAACCTCTGAGGTCCTCCTAGAGGAGGAGAGGAGCTGTTATGAAAACCACCTTCCTTCAACCTCCAAGGTCCTCCTAGAGGAGGAGAGGAGCTGTTACCAAAACCACCTTCCTTCAACCTCTGAGGTCCTCCTAGAGGAGGAGAAGAGGTGTTACCAAAACCACCTTCCTTCAACCTCCGAGGTCCTCCTAGAGGAGGAGAGGAGCTGTTATGAAAACCACCTTCCTTCAGCCTCTGAGGTCCTCCTAGAGGAGGAGAGGAGCTGTTATGAAAACCACCTTCCTTCAACCTCCAAGGTCCTCCTAGAGGAGGAGAGGAGGTGTCACCAAAACCACCTTCCTTCAACCTCTGAGGTCCTCCTAGAGGAGGAGAGGAGCTGTTATGAAAACCACCTTCCTTCAACCTCCAAGGTCCTCCTAGAGGAGGAGAGGAGCTGTTACCAAAACCACCTTCCTTCAACCTCCGAGGTCCTCCTAGAGGAGGAGAGGAGGTGTCACCAAAACCACCTTCCTTCAACCTCTGAGGTCCTCCTAGAGGAGGAGAGGAGCTGTTATGAAAACCACCTTCCTTCAACCTCCAAGGTCCTCCTAGAGGAGGAGAGGAGCTGTTATGAAAACCACCTTCCCTCAGCCTCTGAGGTCCTCCCAAGCTCTCAGTACCTGTACTGTGGTTTCCTGGGGTTCTTCTCCACGTCCAGCAGCTGGTCGATGATCTCCGGGCTCTCCGCCCTCTGCCCGATGAGGAAGAGGATGGCCATCATGCAACGCACTTGGTGGTAGAGGAACGCTTGGCCCCTCACCTCAAACTGCCACAGGCTGAAGGGATCCTGCGTCCCTCCTCCTCCTCCTCCTCCTCCTCCTCCCACGGGGGTGACGGTGGCGCTGAGGATGGTCCTCTGGAAGTTGACCACCCCGTTGGCCACGTCCATCTTGCAGAAGTTGCGGAAGTCGTGGGTGCCCAGGAACCTCTGGGCCGCCGTGGCCATCAGCTCCACGGCCAGCTGCCCGCGGGGGAAGAAGTACCTGTAGGTCCTGCTGAGGCAGCTGAAGCGGGCGCTGAACCCCGGCCCCACGGGGGCCCAGGCCAGCACCCTGATGTCGGGGGGCAGCACCCTGTTGAGCATGTGGGTGTAACGCAGCTCTTCCTCCTCCTCCTCTTCCTCCTCCTCCCCTCCCGAGCCGTCCTCGTGGCCGTTGAGCTGCCGCTTCCCCGAGAGGCTGGAGCGCAGATGGAGGGAGATCACCTGCAGGAGGAGCAGAGCCAGGATTAGATCTGGGATGGGTGGATGAGGAGCATCCAGCCAAGTCCTCCTACGCCGCCGCCGAACGTTCAGGAGCTCCTACAGATGAGAATCTGGAATTGGGGTGATCTCACCGCCCCTTCCCCGGGGGTGCTGCTGCTGAGGTTCCTGCAGATGCTCCACATTCCTTTAATAGAACTCCAAGAAGCCTGCAGAGAAAGTTGCAGGCTGCCTACGTAGCCTGGTTCTGAAACAGCTTCAACTTCAGCCACTTTTTAGGATATAAGAATTTTTGTGCCTTTTTTTTTTCCTGGAGGTGATGACTTGAAGGTGGGAACGCTCTGGATGGTCGTGAAACCTGGGGCAGGAACAACACGTAGGTGCCTGCAGCCTGTCAAGGGTGCTAAAAAAGGGGTGGCTGGTGTCTGAAGGAGACCAAGACCATCCACCTGGGGCAGAACCTCCTTGGTGAGGAGAAGATGGAGCCAGAACCTCCCCCAGATCCTTCTCCCGGCCAAGAGTCGGAGTTTTTAGTGGTTTGGGGAAAAAAAACTGGTATGAATGTGGGGAAAATAAGTACCAGGATGGGATGAAGGGGTGGTGAGGTGGAGAAGAACTGGAGCTGAGGTGGAAAATTGGCCCAAATATGGGAAAAAAATGTGGAGGAAAATGGCGCCGATGTGGAGGAAAATGGTGTCAATGTGGAGGAAAAGGGACTAATGTGGGAAAACTGGCATCAAAATGGGGAAAAATGGTCGTGGCTTGGGGAAAAAAGGTACTAATGTGGTAAATTTGCCCCAATATAGGGGAAAAAATGGTGCTGATGTGGAAAATGAGTAAAAATAGGGGAAAAAAAAATGGTGCTGAGGTGGAGAAAAATGGCGTTGATGTGGAGGAAAAGGCACTAATAGGGCAAATTAGCATCAAAATGGGGAAAAATGGTTGTGTTTTGGGGAAAAAAGGTACTGAAGTGGTAAATTTGCCCCAATATAGGGAAAAAATGGTGCTGAGGTGGAGAAAATGGTGCCGATGTGGAGGAAAAGGCACTAATAGGGAAAATTTGCATCAAAATGGAAAAAAATGGTTGTGGTTTGGGGAAAAAAGGTACTGAAGTGGTAAATTTGCCCAAATAGAGGGAAAAAATGGTGCTGAGGTGGCAAATGAGTAAAAATATAGGGGGAAAATGGTGCTGACATGGAGGAGAGGGCCTTAATAGGGAAAATTAGCATCAAAATGGAAAAAAATGGTTGTGGTTTGGGGAAAAAAGGTACTGAAGTGGTAAATTTGCCCCAATAGAGGGAAAAAAATGGTGCTGAGGTGGCAAATGAGTAAAAATATAGGGGAAAAATGGTGCAGATGTGGAGAAAAATGGCGCCAACACAGAGGAAAATGTGGTAATGTGGAAAATTAGCACCAGTATGGGGGGGAAAAAGGGAAAAATGGGCCCAAACATGGAGAAACAGGCACTAATATGGAAAATTGGCACTAATTAGGGAAAAAATGGCCTTCAGATGGGATAAACATGGTTAAAACTGGCACAGCTGAGCCCTCTGAGGGGCTGAACTCCCTGCCCCACATGCAGGAGGCCAGCACCAGGCTCACGTGGAGCTTCAAACCCCCAGCCCAGGGACCCCCCAAACCCCCTGGGGAACCCCCTGAGGCAGGGGCCGGCGCTGACCTGCCCGAAGGCGCTGACTCCTTTGTCCGTCCGCCCGCAGCGGTGGTAGTTGGAGGTCTGTCTGCTGGCCACCAACCTGGTCTTGGTCAAGGCCTGGAAGAGCTTCTCCTCGATGGTGTTGCTGGTGTTCTCCTGGCTGGCAAAGCCCTGGTAGCCCCAGCCCAAGTAGGCGATTCTCAGAGCCACGTGCCGGCGGCCGTGAGCGTCGAAGTCGAAGGGGCGCCGACCCTTCTTCCCCTGCCCGCTCCCCGCGGGGGCTTCTCTGCTCCCCACGGGGGCTTCTCTGCTCCCCAGGGCCTCCTGGTCTCCTCGCAGCTTCTCCCGCAGCCTCCTCACCTCCTCTTCCAGCTCCTGCACCCTCCTGAGGAGCTGCTCCGGGTCGGGCGCCGCGCTCCCCTCGGCCATGGCGGCTCTGGGCCTGTGGGGACAGAAGGACACGGGGGAGGTCAGGCTCCGTGCTGGCCACGCTTCTCCAGCACCCCAGGAGATGTCTCCTCAGCCCTGAGGGCACGTGGTTGGCTTGTGAGGACTCTGAGGTCCTTCTCCGTGGAGCTGCTTCCCAACAGGCCAACCCCTACTTCATCTCCTCCATCACTCAGGCTTTGGGGTTCCACCACCACGGGGAAGCTCTGCTGCTGGTGCAGCCTCCTCCTCACCTTCACTCAGCTCCAGCACACCACAGATCAACTCAAACTCCTCTTTTTCTTTTGCAGTTTGGTGGACAGCATGGAGGAGAACTCAGATGTGGATGCTACAGGATGGTCCCCTCGTCCAGAGGACAGGAGGAGACCCAGGAGGCTGGTGATGAAGAGGAAGGTGCTGAGGCACAGGCCTGACGGGGCCG